GCTAAAGAAGGGGAGGGTGCCACCCAGACACACTATTCTGTGGTGAACATCAAAATGCCATGTTGTCACTTGTTCTCAGAGGCAACTTCCCTCGTGAGTAAGCCTGGAAACTCACCCTTTTCTTTTTGAAGACCCCTCACCCATGTGTTTATCTCTGCAGCACTGGCAAATCTCTGAAGCCAAGGAACTGGAGAATTGCTGGTGTGAAAGATGTTCCAGCACCGTGGAGCAGAGCAGAAGTGCCCAAGCTACCTTTAACTGAGATAACCAGGGTATAGTAGCAGTCTTTCTGCCACAGGATGGAGCTCAGTGCAGGCTGCAAAGCATTTCTAGTAAGCTGAATAAATACTCCAGCATCCCTCTGTCACTGATGTCCGTACTTCTGCTTCTTGATTGTTATCAGTGCCCATGCTGGTGGCTTAAAAAACCTAATTTATGTAGGACTGAATCCCATTGCAGAGCCTGCACCATCAATATGCCTCCAGGTAGCTAAATTCCGAAATGACTGAAAAAAAAATCATATAGGTGAAGGTCCTCATCATGTCTGAAAAAATACAGTGCAAAAAATGTGGGGGGAAAAAAGAGCCAGGTTTTGTAAAAAGTGAACATGTGAACTCTGTGGCTTCAATTGTGTCCCACTTACTCTGTTCACCATCTCTACAAAGTGTTTCTCACACAGAAATGTATTTTCAACAATGCTGAAAGGAACCTGCAGAGGTTGGAAGCTCAAGCTACATTTTCCCTTGATAAATGGGTCACAAATGTCACATACGAGGTTAAATGGCACAGGCAGGACTTTTTTTTCTCTTTTTAAATCAAGCATGGCAAAATTAGTATTAATGGAGCCGATCTTTCTGACTGTGAAATATCACTGAATTTAAATATTTAACAAGAGAAATGATCAGAGTTCTCCTACCTGGGTACAAAGCACAACCAGAGACTGCTTTACTGAAGGAGTTAAAGTTTTCTGCAATAATGCAACAAATTACTCAATGCAACAAACAGCAGACACATTCTGTGGCAGTTTCCCCACAAACTTCAATCTATGGGGAAAAAGAATCTTGATTTATTATATAGCATTTGGACAGTTGCGAAAGAAAATTTGCCAAAGATCAGAATAATCAACTCTTTCACCCAAGCAGGTTTTTTATGGAAGAAAAAAAGCACAGAATGGGTCTGAGCAAAATAAATAAAAATTCCACACTTTTAACCAACAGAACCTTTTGCGTCATTCAGAAATATTTACAGACATCCAGAATCTTTTATCATCAAAAAGACACTCTGGCCTTTAAAATTACAACTTTTTCTTATATTTTTCTTTACTGATGGACTTTAAACTAGTGGGTATCCCTAACTTGTAGCACCTCTTCATGCTGTGTTTGTCAAATGTAGGAATTTTTAAAGCTGCACCTTGCTATTTTTTCCCTTCCCTCGAAACATCTCTCTTTTGCTAAGGTGTCATCTGTGAATTTTAAAGATAGCAGAACACCATTTACTAGCAGCATCCATCACATGAGTCATTGTCACTAGTGTCTCAAACATCAGTTTTCATCGATTGAAAGGGCCGCTAATGCCAATATTAACCTGGAAAGGGCTTGCTGGTGTAATACAATTAAATACAGCCAGGAAGAGGGCTGCAAATAGAAACATACATTAGCCATTCATAGCATACAAGTATAGACAAGCCTCTCTCAGAGCCCTGTAAAGGTATTAGCGTAGCATCTCTGTTCCACTTGCCTATTTAATTAGCACACAATGAAGGCCACTGAATTTCCCTGCAAAAGCTGTTGCATACTTTGGACAAAAAAGAAAGGAGAAAAAATGTTGCTTTTAAGTGCAATCCCAAAAAAATAGCTCCTTGGCTAAATGGCACTTTTAATAAAGATGTTTCCAGTGTTTGTTTATTTATCAAAAACCACTGTTTCTCTCGGGTGTTTTGATTTTTGTTTCTGTGCACAAGGAGAGGAAAAAAGGGCTTTACTAAGCAAGTCTTTCAGTAAGACACCAGATGATGGATAGTCAAACACAGAGTCTCCTGTAAACACAGAGGGAACCAAAAGGTATGAACTGACTCATAATTGTGTCAACACAGGTCGCAGACCCTTGGTTTATTTCAGCCTTCCTGTTTTTCACAGATTTCTTTTCACACTACGCTATTTTTTTTAAGACACAGACTCTTTTCAGTACACGTTAGTGGGGTGCAAAAGCACACACGTTTTTACACCAAAATGTGGGCATCTATGCACACATGTAGTGTAGATGCCACAATTCCAACAGCAGCATTTTCCATCCACGGCTTAAGTCTGCATTAAACTAAGCTGTGCCTTTCTTCACAGCAGTCCATGCCCACTATAAATCAGAAGGTCCATCCTATCCCTGCCTCCAGATTTTCCACGGAGGCTCTTGGGAAGCATCCAGAAAAGAGGAGTACAACAAAACCTCAACAGCCTAGTCCTCCAGTTCATGCAACCCTCTAAGACTCGGTGTGATTTTTTTCTGTTAACATGTGGCAAAGTGGCAGGAATGTGTCTGACCAAAAGTGCTGGGAGGCTGACACACAGCAAAGAGGTCTGTGATGAGCAGAACCTACCAGTACTTGTCTTGATCTCTAAACACATTGAATTGAAGCTGTGGCCTTTATAAAGTTGTTCTTCCCTGCTGGTTGCCCATTTCTATAGCGATTGGAGGAAAAAGCCTCTCTGAGGTCTTTATTTCATTATCAAATTTAATTGGCACTGACCAGTCGGCTAAGAAGTTGTTGGGGAGGGACTGATGGGCAGACACACCGAGAAGTTGGATGCCCTACAAGTCAAGAGCAGTTCAGCTGACAGTTGAAGAAAGATGTTTCAGTGCATTGCTTCACAAAATCACCTGTGGAGACACCTTGTTGCCTGAAATTCTGAGATCCTTCTAAAGGACTTGTAGAAATTAACAAATGAAGATGGGTTAAAGCCAAGGCAGTTGTTCTTCTTCAGCAGAGAAAATTAAAAAAGGAGTTTAAGGCCAGACTGCAATGACCAGTACTTGTCCCTGGATGTCCGTGAACCACACAGAGGCTGGTGCGATGGATCTGCACATGCAACAGATCCATCCTGAGCACCTTGGGTCAACCACACACATGCAAACGACTTAATGCTATAGACCCAGAGAGTCTGGCTCATCCAAGATGTGTCAGATGCCCTGTATGAGCAAGGAGAAGTTTGTAAGCAGCGACTGTTTGTTTGGGATGTTTCAACCTCAGCTAGATTAACTGAAAAATGGTAGAGGCATCAAGGACAGATGACCTTACTCAGGCTGAGCAGTGCCTCATTCCTTGTGTAATCACATCCAGCTCAGCAGGAAAGCTACTCAGTAAAAATCAGAGTCACAGAACAAGGATTTGGACCTTATTTCCCACTGTGTAAATTAGTTGGTAAAATTCCCAGATAACAGGTAATCATCTTTGCAGCGAAGCCAAATCCACGAAGAGCATCACAAGGGCTCTTCCCTGTTACTTCACCAATTCATTCGCCAAAAAAATGCAAACCAAATTACATTTAAGACAAAGTTGACACCAAAAAAAAGCCAAAAACAGCACTCCAGAAACAAATCATTGGCAGACTTAATTTTTTTAAGACTACTCATTTTAGGATATTAAACCCTTGTAAAGAGCAAGCATTTTATCTGATGCCATTTTCCCCTGCAGGAACCAAGGTTGATGGAACAACAGAGAGAATTCTGTATGCAAATTACAATATATTAAGTCAGACTTGCTTCCAGCAGATTCTGTACCTTCAGAAATTGTTCCAGGGCTTGTGTGTTTATCAAGTGGCTATAAACTGGAAAACCTACACTGTTTTCTTCTGCACCCTCCATCCTTTCTTCACCTCTTTTTAACTCTACAGCAGAAGATGAGGGAAGCAAAATTTACTGAAGGAGACCATGAAAAGAATTTCAAAATATTCCACATATTTTCTCTGTATAAACACACTGTGAATTTCGAATGTACATAGTTCCAGGGCACTGTCACTCAGATCCCATGAGTTCACCCAAGTTAAGACAAATTATGCTCCCCGTTATCTCAGTTGTTACAGTTTCTTGCCTTTCATTCGTTCATTGCCAGAGGCTGGATTTTATGTCAGTACAACAGAGAAAAGGACCCTCAATTGCTGAAGTGAATCTCTTGTGGTAAGACCAGTAATAGTGGGCTTTCCAGTAGAGAATTCACAAGGAGATAGCTGTTAGTCTTCTTCGCGAAGGTGACAGTTGAGAGAATGCTGAATTTTAGCAGGTATGAGCAGGAGAAATGCTGTGTTGTAGAAATGGCCACTGCAAGCTCCCTTCCAATTCTGCAGTGTTTGGCCCACATCAATAAAACAAAGTAATTAAAAAAAAAAATTTACATGTCCTATAAAAAAACTACATAAGGTAGTGTTGTGGTTTGAATAGAGGATGCTACTGCTGAGCAAACCTGCCTGGCAAACAGCAGTGGCTGACACTTCAAACATCATATCCCGAGTATAATTAACATTAACCTTCAACTACATCAGCAATCTCTCTGCTTTCATCAAGTCTCATTTCCTCCCTGATAAAGAGCTACTTATTACAAGGGAATGCAGGATGTGACGAGGGGATTAATTTCTGAATGTCCTTTTACAGTCATGTTGGTCCTGGTAGGTACCAACATTAGACATACCTGTTCCACGCACCAGGTCTATTTAACAGTAAAGTCCCCTTGCTAGGAGCCTGTGCATGCAAAGCCAAGCGCCTGGCTGCTGCCAGCCCCCAGCCCTGCCTTGCAAGTGCATCACACCAGTCCCTCCTGCCTCACCCACTGTGCCTTGTTAGGAACCAGAAAATGTTGAGCTCGCATAGCAGCATCGTGGGAGGCATATGCATTGGATGCCCATCTCTAAACTGATTCCTTTTAATGATGAGTACCTTTAATATCATTCTGCTGAGCCAGTTTTGATAGTATGTTCTATTTCTGCAATACTTCCAAAGAAGGGAAAAGCTCTTACCTATTGTTCTTCGGAGATCTTCACACTGGCTAATGTGAGGGAATTTCAAGATTTCCTTCCACTTTTTGCTTTTGCCTTTGCGTTTCCCTCCACCCCCTGCAGAGAAAGAAATATCAGGATTAGATTGTTTGGGGGGCCATAGCCCCAACCAGAGTTTACCAGCCCAGTCACAGTTCTTATCATTAATAATTAAAGCTGAGATATTGTGGGTAGATGTACAGATCAAGTCTGAGCTTGTCGGGGCTGAGGAGGTGGCATCTGGCAGAAGATCAGCTTGCTAGAAGTTAGGAGTTCAGGCTTGTGGTCCACCGGGTCCAGTTCAGATAACAGCGCTAAACAGAGCACCTGCCCCAACGGGCAGCCATTTCACACGATTCAAATAATCTTGTAAAATTACTGCTCACATCTTTTCAACCTGCATCTCCCCCTTCTGGTTTTGGGATGAGCCTTGATTCTATCCTAAAAGAAGTGCTGGTAACTGAAGACCAAAATTCAGTTCTCATCATCCCCCTCCTCACATCACACATACTGCCAACATGGCATTACCGCTGCTGTCACACACCCTGCTCACTGCTGCTTCCATAGGAGGAGAACAGTAGGAGAAAATTAATGGAATATCCTCATGGACAGAACATACCTTTCTGGTTCTTTTTTCCCTTTCTCACTCATCCCTGAGATTTCTGGAGCTGGACTATCCTCAAGGTGAACAACTCAGCTGGCTTCCTCCAGCTCTGGCAGGACCAGGTCCAAGATCCTCAGCCCCTTCAGACTGATGCATCTCCCTCATCAAAAGCCCTTCATAAATATCCCGCTGCAAATATCACTGGCATCTCTAGGTGCCACATCTGAGCTTATCCAACCAGGCTACCTGCTCTTTGTGTTACTCTTCCATGCTGCCCACACTTCCCTTGTCTCCCCTTCCCTCCAGTCCACCTCCCCATCTCTTTTACTCCCTTTCCCTTGCCTTCTGTTTCTCAGTTCTTTCTCATCCTCCACTCCCAGGTGCCCCTTTCTGGTTTATGTCAACAGTGCAGCAAACCCAATCATGATTCACCTTCATGTATTTTTAAAAAACCTTCAAAATCTACTGTCTTGATTTGGACCTTTCTATTGTAGTTCCCAAATCAGAGTGCCAAACGCTTACAATCACATTCTCCAGTGCATAGATGCTTTTTCTGTTCTTTTAAAACTTGTGATGTTTGCTTTCCTGCTTTAATGTCTCAGAACCCCATCGAGCTCAGGATGGGGGACCTGGGTACTGACATGGCTGTCACAAGAGCACCACAGCTCTGAGGGTCTCCTGTCCACTGTTCCTCGTTTGCAAGGGGGATGCCTTCTGACCAGTAACGGTGGCGTTTCCAGCGTACCTCACTTTGCTCCTTGCTGGGATCACTAGACGACACACCGCCTATGGGGTTAGGCTCCCTCAGCCCAAGCAAGCCTAATGCAGGCTGACACGTTGTGTGTGCTCCTCCCCAGTGTCTGCTAGATGGGCACTCAGATCTGCAGCAGCTCAGCCTAAGAGGACATTTTAAAATTTTTCTTTTTACTCCAGCCCTCACAGGGGTTTCTCTTTTTATGTCCCCACATTTTTTATGCTGCCACATGAGTGTTACTGCAGAGGGTAGGAAGTGTGGTGTTGGGGGTTTAATTCATAGCTTGTTTGTGTGCCTGTACTGCACACAAGGAGAAGCTCTGCAGTCAAAAGAGAAAGAGTATCCCTCCGGACATGAAAGCCCATATGCAGACCAAGATTCTCCGAGTCAGTGTTTACTGAAACTCAGTCCCTGCACACAAAATCTAATTCACTTGAGTCTATTTTACATGCACTGGCATGTCAAATGACTAATTCAGAGCTGAGTTAATTCTGTTGAGGGGCTGGTAGAGTCACAATTGCAGATTGAGGGTGAGTTGGGTACTACATGGTATTGCAGGCAAAATTAGGAGAGCATTGACTCAAAAGGTAGCAGACCATTACAGAAAAAACATGAGTCTTGGAAAAAATTATGAAGTATAGCTCTCTGTGGGGTGTTTCTGATCACACCTTTGGTGCAGGAGTGCTTCTTCTGCATCTCTTTTATTCCTTTGCTTTTGGTGACCAATGGTTTTGTTATTGAGTATCTTGCCTTGAATTAGTTTAAAGGCCTTATTGACAGGAATTTATTGTATGCCTACATTATGCAATGTCATACAGAGATAGCTGCACTAGCCATGAAGGAACCACCTTGTTTAGACTATCAGGAGTACAGCTATGCTACCATTTCCAGGAATTAGTCTCTGGCAAAGCAGAGAGAGCCGTGACTGCCTCCACACTATGTTGTATTATGCAATGCAGATATATCCTTTGGATCTTAATGAACTCTTCTTCAACCTTCCCTCTTCAGTGCATCCCTAATACTGCTGCTAAAGTAATTTCCTCTCCCGTCCCTCCAGCCACAGTAGAGGAGAGGCTGTCTTGCTCCCTTCTTGCAGAATATGACACTTTGTCTTGCACACTGAAGGTCTTAGGTATGCTACAAGGCATTGAGAAGCATTTCGTGGGCTGGGGTGGGCACTGTGATGGTCCGTTCACCAACTCTCCTGGAGCGTGTAGCTCTGCTGTGGTCACCAGTGACTGCAGGGGTTGGATTTGGCAACCCAAAAGGTCCTCCATTGGCTTCTGTCTCCTTGAAAGCCCACTGCTCCAATCCTGCACAGCTTCTCCTGCTTGCCAGGCTGCCTCCTCTACTCATCCCTCTTCTTCTCTTCCAGGGGCCTTCCTGTACGCTCCTTGGTGCTCCTGACCTTATGCCTCATCACACCATACTTATGCTTCTCTGCCTCCTCCCTTCACACGCTCCTCCGGGGAGTGATCCTCCCTCCAGGAATTCACGTTTCCTTCTCTTTGCCAGTCATTCTCTTTGGCTGCATTTTCTTTCCTGAACTATTGCTTTGTGGTTTTCCTCACACTCATTTATTTTGTAAACTTTGAGTTCTATGCCTTGATGTCAAACCTCCATGGGAATTAAATGAATTAAGTATATATTTATTAGCACTGGAGAAACGATAGGAAGCAAGGGGAGGGCAAGGAGGAAGAGAAAAATCTGGGCTGGTGTCACAGCAGAATGATCCCCCTTTGAGAACCACAGAGCTTGAATCTGGATTTCTGGATCCCTTCCTCAGGCTCCCAGAGCAGCTCATCTCACCTCCACCTACAAATGTGTGCCTCTCGCTACTGCCTGCTGCCTCTCCTACTGCAGAGACCCACTCTGCTCTTACCAAAGAACAGAGAGAAAAGGGTGCTGTAAGGGGGCAGGCAGGAGCTCTCTGATTAAGGTATGAGCAGGCACTGGAGGCAGCATAAAAGGTATGCATCTGTGTGGGCAGTGGTGTCTGCTAGGAGAGGATTTCCAATAATTTCTGGACACAGGAGGCAGCAGGAATAAGCCAGATGAAAGCATCCTTTAGGCTGCATCTGCTCAACAGTGGTATATCTTCACCCACTGAAGGTCTACCCTCTAGGCCAAAGCACTGGAGATTTCAGAGCACACCTGCTTCTCCAGCTACCTTAACAGAAGTCCTCACAAAATAGTTGCATCTTTAACAGCATCAAGCTGTGCAGAGCATTGCAAAATAGCCCTTTTCTCTAAATGACAGCTCTGAGACTTGTGCAGAGATGAAATGATTCTGCTAAGCTGGGCCAGAATGTTTTTAAAATCCATTCGATGTAAAATATATATTGATATATTTACACTGGATGATGTATTTCTGACATTAAATTTCCATCAAAACTTGAGAAGAGCTCTGCGGTCCCCAGTTACAACTGTGATCAATACAGCCAGTGTGTTCTATTCTCTTTTGTGGCCATCCTCCAAAAATAAGCAGCCTTGCCTGATGAATCATTTGCTCTTAGCTGAGCGTGAAGTAGTGTTACTGTTTTGCCTGTGACGTCTTTATGTTAAAGATTCTGATCAACTGCTCTAATCGACCTGACCTTTCTGTTCTCGGTTTTTCTTGTAGAGCCAGCAGTGTTTGCTGGCTCCAAATATTAATTCTAGGGGGTTTGAAGGACAGAGTGCAGCGAGACAGCTGACAGGGTAAATTGTCTAACAGAGCTAAAAGCTAAAAGGGGAGATTTCTCTGAATTGATCAGTAATTGTGCAGGTTGCAAAGGGAAGCTTTTCACGCACTGCCTTGATTGCTGCCTTTGCACTGTCTATTCTGGACAGGAGGATTTGCAATCTTCAAGGCAGCTTCTCAGGGCAAGACTTGACAGACATGCCATGTTTTAGATCTGAGTTCCATCATGTGGTGCTGCAGGGTCTGACTGCTTTAAAATCTTGGTTTGCTGATGATGACAAAAGGTGAGCTCCCAGCAACAGCATGAAATCTCAGCTCCACTCCCTTAACAACTCAGCATTTGCAAACGGAGAATTGAAGCTAATTGTCTAACATGTCAACCAGTCCTACAGGAAACAAAAGCATTTGCTCTACATCTTACCTACTGAAAAATACATGGCATTTTTCATATCATCTTGTGATGCTGGATGGCAAATCTAGCTCTGATCTCTGCCTGCAAGGAGAGAGGCATAACCAGAAGCACACCTGTAAAATATTTGTGAACAGGAGCTACCCTCAGCCTAAGGTGCCTCATTTTTTTGCCCCCGTTATTCAGGATATACTTACTCTCCTAGCACTAAGAGGAGGTAGGAAAGCACCTGCATATTGTTAAGCCAGTGAGATACTGAGTGGCTTGTCCAAAATGACATGAGAAATCAGAGACAGAGCAAGGAGACGAAGCCAGGGCCCCGAGCCTGTTCATCCTGCTAACAACAGGATCCGGCCATGCTCATGCTCAGCTGATTAAAGACATTTCATAACACAGAGTTAAACATAAATAATGATAGGTGAATTAATTCCAGCATCATGCCTGTAGTATATTCCATTCGTGCCTCAAGCCCCCATGCAAAAGTGGCTTTTAAGCATGGCTAAGCTGGCTTCATATTTTTCCTCTGCTCTTGCTCGAGATGATAAACCTGAATAACACCCCAGGCTGCCAGGCCTGGCTAACCCAAGACAGCCAAATATTTCATTGACTTCAACTGTATTATCTGCAA